AAATTCGAATTTTGACTAATTTTCTTCTATCGCTCCTCTCTATGCAACGGATGATCTCTAGCAAGCACTAAGACGTCATTATAAAGAACATGAGCTACTCTTTCACACAAAAATAAAAGCAGTCAAATTGGTTGTAAAAAGCAGAAGTTATGAATTTTTGAAAATGGTGCGACAGAACTTTCGGTTCCACCTAATAGATGCGATCCTAAAAAGCAGAAAGTGGAATTTTTAAGCTTGAATTTTTGTAACTCACCGGAGAAGTTACGAAACCGCCTGAAATTTTCAAGATAGAAAGAAGGAGGATGAGTATGATAGCAAGATTGCAGCCAACAAGCTTCAATAGCTCCCGAGAAATTTAGATATGCAGATACGATCCCCTTACTTTAGTTTTTGTCGCTATACATAAAATTATAAAAAAAATCCACAGATGACGAAGTAAGGCCATATCTTGCACAAATGTAGCAGAGCATCTACAAAGTACGGATAAATTGTGTGGGCCCGTGAAAAACATTACAAAAAGATTTGGAAATTATTGATGGTCATCGTCAGTAGAGATATTCGTTTTTGTCTAGAGTGTGCCTTTAGGAAGGCTTCAGAAGCAAGATTTCTAGGCCGTTCGATACATTTAGAATTTCTATCAAATCATACATCCCTCAAAAGTGTTTTGAGCTTTTGGAAATGTTTTTTTGAAAATTTAAAAAAAATATTATCTTCATTATTTTGATTTCTACTTTTATGATATGTAAAGAACATGCACTAACTGTCTGCTTTTTGATTTTCTTTTGAGCTTACGGTCTGCCAAACTATTTCCTCTTGCGACCCCCCTCCCCACCTTAGGGTCCCACTTTACGACCCCCCGTTGCGACAGTCGCATCACACGCTTTACCCTGGTTGGGATACTAAAATTATATCTGATTGAGACTTTTGTAATTGACAAGAGGCTTTATAGTCAATTAGCACTTAAAGGCACCCTCTAACCAAAATGAGGGTTGGCGAGATTATGATGGCATACTAGTGTGGGTCCTCACACTAGGCAAACCCCAAGTTGCACCGCAAAAAACTGTTTCTGGAGCGAGAAGTTTGCTCCAGAATTAGCAAAGTGGGCGGAGCGACCAGGGTCACCCCGCCCACTTGCATGCTTTACCTCGCCGGCGCATGTTGCAGGGGGTTTTCAAAACTGGAATTTTTGCAGGTTTCGCGGATTTTCGACTCCATATTCGGAATCAGGGCCTTCAGGAGGCCTGGAATCAGGTTCAAGCGTGTAATGCGACTGTCGCAACGGGGGGTCGTACCGGGGGCGCCTATGGTGGGGGAGGGGGGGTCGTAAGAGGGAAAATTTGTATGAAAGACAGCTAGGAAATAAGTTTTCAGTAGCAAATATTCTTTAAGCTTAAAAAAATAGCAAGTTTCCTGCTAAAAAAAAGTGCCGTAGACCGGGTTTGAACCTGCTTGCACCAAGTATGACTGAAAATTCAAAAAAAAAACACTTTCAGAAGCTCAAACACTATCAAAAGCATGTTTGTGCAGTAAAGAGGGTGTATATAATGATTGACATAAAAGTCCTGCTTTCGAAGCCTCAGTGAAGTCTCACACACTCGACAAAAGCGCACATCTAGATCAACGATAACAATCAAAATTCGTGAATCTCTTTGTAATGCCATTCATGCGGCCCTTACAATTTATGTGTAGTTAAGATATTACTGTGCGAAATCTGGCGTTGTTTTGTAAACTGTGTTTCTTATGATTTTATGTATGGTAGCAAAAAATCAGAAAGGGGGGGGGAGGGTCGTATCTGCGCCTCATCTAAAATTTTTCGGGGCTATCGAAGCTTGTTGGCTGCAATTTTGCTGTAATATAAGGCCGTCCTCCTACTGCTTTTCCTCATAAAAGTTGCAGGCGGTTTTATGACTTCTTTGGTGAGTTACAAGATTTTAAGCTCAACAATCCCAGTTTCGTTTATGGAGGTTACCGCGAATGTGGGCAGGGGAGACAGGGGGTAGGTGGGAGGGGGGGGGGGGCTCGTACGGATGGTTGCTTCAAGAGGGGGGAGAGTCGTAAAAGGGGGTCTAGGATCGCATCAACACGCTTGACCCTGCCTGGAATCGACAAAAACATGGACGTCGAAAATTTGGGTAGACGGTGCCTTTGAAGGCAGTGGCTCGGGAAAATTGCGACTGCGGGCTTTTCACGACTACATAGACTTCTGGACCAGCTGAGTCAGGTACTGCGCTCGAAAAGTAAAAAAAGTGCTTTTTTGGCGTTTCCGGGCCTTGGAGATTGCTGAGTGGGCGGAGCGAGGCCAAGCACCCCAAAAGGAGCAACTGGCTGGTTGCAGGAGACTGTAACTCCACTTATTATGGCGGTAAATGGCTGATCAGCCTAGGCAGCCACCGCGATACAGTTTGCCGCTGAAATAGTTGAAGTTACAGTCTCCTGCAACCAGTTGCTCTTTTTGGGGTGTTTGGTCTCGCTCCGCCCACTCAGCAATCTCCAAGGCCCGGAAACGCCAAAAAAGCACTTTTTTTACTTTTCAAGCGCAGTACCTGACTCAGCTGGTCCAGAAGTCTATGTAGTCGTGAAAAGCCCGCAGTCGCAATTTTCCCGAGCCAATGCCTTTAAAGGCAGTGTCTCACCAAAGTTAAGGTCGCGGGGATCTTTACTTATTCTATTATAGGGACCTCTAGATAGGCCAATGCAACAAGTCCCACTCAATTTGACCCCCTCTACGCTGAGAAAAATTCGCTTAAAGTGGTACGCGGAGAGCCAGTTGGTACGCGCGGACGACTCCTTCGGTCTCCCTTCTAACGCGTTTGAACATGTTCCTCCACTTGGCATCCACCTCACCCTGTTGCTGCCACTGTGGCTGAGGCTGAAGTTGGAAGGTACAACTCGTCCACGTTGCCTCCGCGGGGCCTCCAAAAAACGGGGTTTTTGGAAACTTCGTGCGATTTTAAGCCCATACAGTGCTAGACAGGGTCCGACAGGCTTGCAAAATGCAAAAATTTTGGCAACTAAATTTTGGTGAGACACTGCCTTTAAGTGATGATCAGAGTCAAGCAAGGGGTGTGGCACACGATTGCTGGTTACGACCCCCCCCCCCCCGATTGCTGTCTCAATAGGACCCCCCCCCCCCTCCTGAACTATACACTTAAGATAGCATTACTTGAAGGCCCTGTCAAACATAATGGGAAACATATTCATAATTAGCATGTCAATTAACTCCTATAGACAAAGTGTGAGCGAATTATGAAGATTCATGATACTAGGCTATTTAAATGAAAGGGACAAATTCCAACAAGGTTAACTTTGTTTCAGAGGTGAATTAGCTATCCGTTTTTGCACTCAAGACGAAGCACTACTCCTTCTTTGTCCATCTCAGGAATCCCGCATCAGAAGACCTCCAAGCTGTGGAATTAGAAGCCAACCAAAATCTCGTTTTTCCCATTTTTCGCTTTTGATCGCTGTGCTTTCACCAAATATCACTCAGAGCTAAGAAGACGAATCAAGCCTAAAACAGTTCTGTGGAATCTACAAGGTTTAGGCTATCGATTCATACAAACACTGTCCGCTAAAAATGTTTTTTTGATATAGTTAATGGGGTGCGGCACACCTCCTTAAGAGCTGCGGCTGCCGCAGTTTTTAAGGGGGTGTGCCGCACCCCATTGACTCACCTTCAAACCGATCAAATAGCTGCGTTTTTTATATCGTTGTCACTGGTTAACCTTCTTCTTCACATAGCAAAAATTTCATTCGAAAGTGTTTGTTATAGGGCAAGATATAATCGTTTTTCCTTACCTATGCAATTGTGAATATCTGGTAAAATACTGCGAAAATATTGGGATACGGTAACATGCTAAGTCTGCGCTACTATGTGAATCGCAAGAGGAGGCGACAAAAATGTATATATTCGACAGCCTAAGCCTCGTAATGTGCATTAAAGTAATTTGAGCCTGATTGGCCTTCTCTAGCCTGAGATACTGAAAACGAAAAATGGAACGAACGAGTTTTTGGCTTGCTCTTAATTCCTTAATTTGGAGGCCATTTGAAGTAGGATTCCTAATATGAGCAAGGAAGTAGTAGTTCTTTGTATCAAGCGCAAAAAGAATTAGTTAACTTACTTTTGAAACAAAGTAACGTGTTTGAAAACAACCATCTCACTTAAGTGGTCCCGCATTTGGAAACCTCAGTATTCGCTGAAACTTGGCCTACTGGGGTTATTTTACTTGCTAATTACAAAACGATGTTCTTACTGCTTTAAGATCTTTAATTACGGTTACTGTATGCATACAATAATGGATCGAACAGCAATGTGCTGGTATTTTGCATGACAGGTATTCGACATTGTTAACGAATATCATGTTATGCGAACATCGGACGCCTTGATAACGACCCCCCCCCCGTCGCTGACTCCTCAATACGACCTCCCCCCCCCAGGTGTGGCATGCCACACCCCACGCTTGTCCCTGCTGATGATACCGTAATGCCAGTAGGTCAAAGAGTATTCAAGTGCACAGAAGAAAATAGATAATTTGTTGCAAAATGATGAGCCTCACCTAAGAACAGCATATTTGGAACCAGCTTCTGAAGCTTTTTCCAAATATGTCTCGAAACGCAAGTCTAAGTTATGGTATCCCTTATCAGATAAGCTGTGAGAAACGAGTCAATCACATGGTCTTGTGAAGATCGAAAATGGATATGTTATTTTCATTCTCTGCTCTGCATCTAGATGTACCTGAACCCTGTCTAAAAACGTGGCCTAGTTTGTAGGATACACTTTGTAGCGTAATGTAATTTGCAGCATATAATCTTTTTGAGTGGCACTACTGAAACTAGGCAATATAGTAAATCTTAAAACCAAGAGAACTAAGTTAAGAGAGGACTAACTAATTGACACAAAAGGGATGTATAATTGTAACGACCGGTCTCGTGGTCAAGAACTATACCCATTGTAACTTCTTTGGTGCCTCATCATATGTTCGTACCAGATTTCAATTACTCACCGAGAAAACATATGAAGAGAAATAAAATGGACGGTCATCGTTTAAAAGTTCACACCGCGCATCAATGTCCCCGTATGTTATATATCCACTGGAATGATATTCCGGATTCAACCATATACTGAATACTTTGGTTCCAATAATACCTATAATTTAATTGATTAGCAGAAGTTTCAAATGACCCATATAACTTATGTTGTGGCTATAGATGCTCCTATTTGGTATAGCTATAGCAAGCGATGTTGATGCAAACACATCTACACTTTGCTTTGTTTTCATAATATAAATGAGCGTTTCTGGTAGTAATTCCGTGCTTGCGCTAACGAGTGGCTAATGATGAGGATGCATATGCCCTTTTTTCGGGTAGAGGACTACATGTCTTCCGAATGGAGGAGTCCTGCGCTGATTTTTTGCAAAAAGCACGTACCGTGCACTTGCAAGGGTGCGTATTTGTTGCAATGACCGTGGGAGCCGCCCCTTTTCGGCGACCTGTAGTCTACCCCCTTTTTTCGGAGCTTGAAGGCAGCGTCCAAGCAAGTCTGGACACATGAGGATCTCACGTGCATAGTAATTTTGGGCTCTTACTAAACGGCTGCCCAACCGGGCAGCCAGCCGGGACCTACCTGGGTAGTGCCTTAGTTAGGTCCCCAAAAGTACTTTCCATTATGTAAAATCCCCATAGGTCCAGATCTGCCTGGAAGCTGCCTTTGAACAGCCTGTCCTTACGAATTTTGTACTGCTTGAAGGTTTGCAAACAGTTCCAGTCTAGTCATTTGCTCACTAGCACTGAGCATAAAGCATGTTTACCCGTTTCATGGAACAGAGCAAAAACTACACCACTTTCTCTGCGTTTTGACCTATCCAACCCTGAGCTAACCTTGGTCGATGATGCTCCTGATAAAAGGTTTGCTGTTTGTTCCTACATTATTCAGCCCAAGGCCAAGTACTCCATCGACATAATCCTGCAGATATATGGCTCATAAATTCAAAGCAAAACAAAAAATGCTTACTTGCAGTTTTGTAGTCTGTATATCTAAGGCGAGTCCAAAAGTCACACGTGGTATCACAAAAAAACTCTCATGAGATCCACCAACCTAAATGTGGAATAACATTTTCCATCTATAAGATCTGAATAGGAGTATAAGACATTAGGTAGTCATTAGGCTTCACTAACGCGGGCGGATAGATGAGGCAGTCATGGTGAAGGGGCGTGCGGTTTGTTGAAACAGTCCGCGTGGGTCCGCCCCTTTCGGCGAGGTAGTGTCCCCTACCCTCCAGGTAGTATCAAAACTGCAATGGTAAATATCCGAAAGCGCTTGTCGGTAAAGATATTCGTCTTTATTGATGAGATTCTAGAACCTGAAGTTTACTACATACATTTTGGGTATAAAACGCATCTTCTCCCCTTTTAGGAACCGAAATACAAGGAAGTCGGCCCCCCTTGAGGAACAAAGCGCGCTCCAAGAACAACCCTGCTGGCGCGACCAAGTAGAAATTGTAAAAATGGCTGGCAAAGCCAAATTCGTCTCGCTGGTGTTCGCCATGCTCATGCCGGGCCCCACAGAAGCGCTTACGAGCAAGAGATTGCCCGAAGTCTTGGTTTGAGATTTCACGCAGGTCAACTGTGCCTCTCATAAACATCTTTTCACGATGCTCAATAAATGCTAAACTTACTGATCACCAATCACACACGAGGTTGACACACAACATTGTTTGATCTCAATAACTCCCCTCCTAAAAAGTCTCTTGCCGATCGTAGCATTACTCTGTAGCTAGTTTCGAATCCTTGTTATATATAAACAGGAAACATCCGGCGCGACGACGAAAACGATACATCGTCCCCTGTCCCCTGACGCACCCTTTCAGCGTTGCGGAGGGCGAGTTGTTGACAGTATGAGCGACCGAGACATCACACTCTCTCGCAGAGGTTACGGACCGCGAGAGATCGAGTGTATGCGATGAACTTCCTATGGCGCAGGGGAGCGCGAAACGAGAGAGTGTTTATGAGATCGTGGATTGATCGCACCCTACACGGCATGCGATGATGGCACGTGTTTTGACTTCGCTTACGATGACGAATTGTGATGAAATACCGTATGTTCGGTTTGATCACGCCTTTCACAGCTGGAGCAATCTCTACTGCTTACGTCTACACTACTCCAGCTCCATTCCTGAGATTTCCTTGCCTCCTTGCCATTTTGCATAATACTTTGATATGAAATATGAAATCTGAGCATTGTAATTCTTCTTAGAAAGGTCGTCAGAGCTCAACATTTTGTGAAAATGACGAAAATCCCAATCGGAATAGCAACTGAAGCAATTGAACAGCAAAAAATGCATTTTTCGCAGGCTTTCTCTGTGGCTGGTCAGTTTTTGGAGCGAAAAACTTTGTTTTCCCCCCCACAATTTCCACGAAAAACGATGAAAAACTCGATTTCGACAGAATTTTCGGCACAGAAAAGCCTCTGCTTCCGGAGTGAAGACCCAGCATGGGAACTTTGGTCTCGCTGGTTTAGCTGCGGCAGGCTCTCTCTGTGGCTGACCAGTTTTTGGAGCGAAAATTTTTGTTTCCCCCACAATTTCCACGAAAAACGATGAAAAACTCGTTTCGACAGAATTTTCGCCGCAGAAAATGCCTCTGCTAGCGAAATGAAGACCCAGCATGGAAACTGCGGTCTCGCTGGTTTAGCTTCGGCAGGCTCTCTCTGTGGCTGACCAGTTTTTGGAGCGAAAATTTTTGTTTTGCCCACAATTTCCACGGAAAACGATGAAAAACTCGATTTCGACAGAATTTTCGCCACAAAAAATGCCTCTGCTTCCGGAGTGAAGACCCAGCATGGGAACTTCGGTCTCGCTGGTTTAGCTGCGGCAGGCTCTTTGTGGCTGACCAGTTTTTGGAGCGAAAAACTTTGTTTTCCCCACAATTTTCACGAAAAACGATGAAAAACTCGATTTCGACAGAATTTTCGCCACAGAAAATGCCTCTGCTAGCGAAATGAAGATCCAGCATGGAAACTGTGGTCTCGCTGGTTTAGCTCCGGCAGGCTCCCTCTGTGGCTGACCAGTTTTTGGAGCGAAAATTTTTGTTTTGCCCACAATTTCCACGAAAAACGATGAAAAACTCGATTTCGACAGAATTTTCGGCACAGAAAAGCCTCTGCTTCCGGAGTGAAGACCCAGCATGGGAACTTTGGTCTCGCTGGTTTAGCTGCGGCAGGCTCTCTCTGTGGCTGACCAGTTTTTGGAGCGAAAATTTTTGTTTCCCCCACAATTTCCACGAAAAACGATGAAAAACTCGATTTCGACAGAATTTTCGCCACAGAAAATGCCTCTGCTAGCGAAATGAAGACCCAGCATGGAAACTGTGGTCTCGCTGGTTTAGCTTCGGCAGGCTCTCTCTGTGGCTGACCAGTTTTTGGAGCGAAAATTTTTGTTTCCCCCACAATTTCCACGAAAAACGATGAAAAACTCGTTTCGACAGAATTTTCGCCACAAAAAATGCCTCTGCTTCCGGAGTGAAGACCCAGCATGGGAACTTTGGTCTCGCTGATTTAGCTGCGGCAGGCTCTCTGTGGCTGACCAGTTTTTGGAGCGAAAATTTTTGTTTCCCCCACAATTTCCACGAAAAACGATGAAAAACTCGATTTCGACAGAATTTTCGCCACAAAAAATGCCTCTGCTTCCGGAGTGAAGACCCAGCATGGGAACTTTGGTCTCGCTGATTTAGCTGCGGCAGGCTCTCTGTGGCTGACCAGTTTTTGGAGCGAAAATTTTTGTTTTGCCCACAATTTCCACGGAAAACGATGAAAAACTCGATTTCGACAGAATTTTCGCCACAGAAAATGCCTCTGCTCCCGAAACGAAGACCCAGCATGGGAACTTTGGTCTCGCTGGTTTAGCTGCGGCAGGCTCTTTGTGGCTGACCAGTTTTTGGAGCGAAAAACTTTGTTTTCCCCACAATTTTCACGAAAAACGATGAAAAACTCGATTTCGACAGAATTTTCGCCACAGAAAATGCCTCTGCTAGCGAAATGAAGACCCAGCATGGAAACTGTGGTCTCGCTGGTTTAGCTCCGGCAAGCTCCCTCTGTGGCTGACCAGTTTTTGGAGCGAAAATTTTTGTTTCCCCCACAATTTCCACGAAAAACGATGAAAAACTCGATTTCGACAGAATTTTCGCCACAAAAAATGCCTCTGCTTCCGGAGTGAAGGCCCAGCATGGGAACTTTGGTCTCGATGGTTGAGCTCCGGCAGGCTCCCTCTGTGGCTGACCAGTTTTTGGAGCGAAAATTTTTGTTTTGCCCACAATTTCCACGAAAAACGATGAAAAACTCGATTTCGACAGAATTTTCGGCACAGAAAAGCCTCTGATTCCGGAGTGAAGACCCAGCATGGGAACTTTGGTCTCGCTGATTTAGCTGCGGCAGGCTCTCTGTGGCTGACCAGTTTTTGGAGCGAAAATTTTTGTTTTGCCCACAATTTCCACGAAAAACGATGAAAAACTCGATTTCGACAGAATTTTCGCCACAAAAAATGCCTCTGCTTCCGGAGTGAAGACCCAGCATGGGAACTTTGGTCTCGCTGATTTAGCTGCGGCAGGCTCTCTGTGGCTGACCAGTTTTTGGAGCGAAAATTTTTGTTTTGCCCACAATTTCCACGGAAAACGATGAAAAACTCGATTTCGACAGAATTTTCGCAACAGAAAATGCCTCTGCTTCCGGAGTGAAGGCCCAGCATGGGAACTTTGGTCTCGCTGGTTTAGCTGCGGCAGGCTCTCTCTGTGGCTGACCAGTTTTTGGAGCGAAAATTTTTGTTTTGCCCACAATTTCCACGGAAAACGATGAAAAACTCGATTTCGACAGAATTTTCGCCACAGAAAATGCCTCTGCTCCCGAAACGAAGACCCAGCATGGGAACTTTGGTCTCGCTGGTTTAGCTGCGGCAGGCTCTCTCTGTGGCTGACCAGTTTTTGGAGCGAAAATTTTTGTTTCCCCCACAATTTCCACGAAAAACGATGAAAAACTCGTTTCGACAGAATTTTCGCCACAAAAAATGCCTCTGCTTCCGGAGTGAAGACCCAGCATGGGAACTTTGGTCTCGCTGATTTAGCTGCGGCAGGCTCTCTGTGGCTGACCAGTTTTTTTTTGTTTCCCCCACAATTTCCACGAAAAACGATGAAAAACTCGATTTCGACAGAATTTTCGCCGCAGAAAATGCCTCTGCTAGCGAAATGAAGACCCAGCATGGAAACTGTGGTCTCGCTGGTTTAGCTTCGGCAGGCTCTCTCTGTGGCTGACCAGTTTTTGGAGCGAAAATTTTTGTTTCCCCCACAATTTCCACGAAAAACGATGAAAAACTCGTTTCGACAGAATTTTCGCCACAAAAAATGCCTCTGCTTCCGGAGTGAAGGCCCAGCATGGGAACTTTGGTCTCGCTGGTTTAGCTGCGGCAGGCTCTCTCTGTGGCTGACCAGTTTTTGGAGCGAAAATTTTTGTTTTGCCCACAATTTCCACGAAAAACGATGAAAAACTCGATTTCGACAGAATTTTCGGCACAGAAAAGCCTCTGCTTCCGGAGTGAAGACCCAGCATGGGAACTTTGGTCTCGCTGGTTTAGCTGCGGCAGGCTCTCTCTGTGGCTGACCAGTTTTTGGAGCGAAAATTTTTGTTTCCCCCACAATTTCCACGAAAAAACGATGAAAAACTCGATTTCGACAGAATTTTCGCCGCAGAAAATGCCTCTGCTAGCGAAATGAAGACCCAGCATGGAAACTGTGGTCTCGCTGGTTTAGCTTCGGCAGGCTCTCTCTGTGGCTGACCAGTTTTTGGAGCGAAAATTTTTGTTTCCCCCACAATTTCCACGAAAAACGATGAAAAACTCGTTTCGACAGAATTTTCGCCACAAAAAATGCCTCTGCTTCCGGAGTGAAGGCCCAGCATGGGAACTTTGGTCTCGCTGGTTTAGCTGCGGCAGGCTCTCTCTGTGGCTGACCAGTTTTTGGAGCGAAAATTTTTGTTTTGCCCACAATTTCCACGGAAAACGATGAAAAACTCGATTTCGACAGAATTTTCGCCACAGAAAATGCCTCTGCTCCCGAAACGAAGACCCAGCATGGGAAC